GGATTTAGGTTAATAGTGAACTTCGAAAGATAATTATAAATACTAATATATATAATAATTTAAATTTATAGTATTAATATAAATAGCCGTATAATATCTATTAAATTTAATAATATTCCTTATTTTAAAAACAATAGCGAAGATGTATTAGTATTGTATAGAATTTCTCGGGGATATATATTTAGGGCTATCTCCTTCTAAATTAAAATTTATTTTATATTAGGCTACGGAGGCCAGGCAAATATAAATCGTCAGATCTATATAGGACGAAACCTAACGTAAACCTCCTATAAAACCCAAGGGTACAAGATAGGACGGGACGGTTTAAATGGACCCTACCCGGGTACCAAACCCTATATATATTTTACAATTATAATTTCTAACTTGCATCCCGCAATTAATTTCCCCGATTTCTTAACTTTACAACTTTATAACCCCGCAACTATATAATTAATAATAGTAATAATTAGAATCTTACTCTATCCTATACTAAATTAAAGGCTATTAAGGATATTGTTCTTTTCTTTCTACTTCTCTATCTAATATTTCGTTAAGCGTAAGAATAGTATCCGAAACCCCGTATTATAATAAAATTATATCCTATTTAAATCTATTTTTTTGTTACTAATTTTAATTCGTTAATTTTTACTTAACTACTTCTATACTCTTATATATACAATATATTATTTATACCTTAATTACTAACTAATTTATTTATACCTCTCTAAATAGTAAGTTCGAACTCTATTATTATTATTATTATCTTCTTACCTCAATATTACTAATATATTCCCCTAGCAATTACTATATAAATATAATAGTATTACCGGACCATTATAATTAAAAACCTTTTAATAGGTCGTAATACGATTTATTTACTAGTTGGGGGAAGAAAGATAATACTCGTAAGCCCGGCGACCTACTTATTCCGATTAAAAATAGCCTATAGATCTATTAATTTTTCAATACTCTAATAGAATATTCTAATATATCCGAATAAAAGATAGGCTAAAATAAGACTATAGATATTTAAGTAAAATAGAAAGAGGTTTATCTGGACGTTATTTAATTACTATATATATTTACCTATAATATCCGTTTAATTAATAATAAAAAGTTCGCACTTTTTAGATTGAAGTTTATAATTAAAATTAAAAAGTATATTTTTATTATTCTAGTAGCGACGGACACTATTCCGGCTATTAAGAAATATAAGGCGAAGAAGGTTATAGCTCCGAAAAAGATTAAAAGTATGTATTTAAAAATCTAATTTTTTTATAATTATATTAATATTAAGAATAGAAGCCTGTACTTCTTCTATATCGGCTTTATCGGCCATCCTCGTTAATAAAGCCACTACTCTTACATTTATAATAAAAATATTTAACGTCTCTACTATTATTATTAAAGAGGAATTTTCTAATATTAAATTGGGCGAATACGCAGTTAATACTAAACCCGTCGCTAAAGCTCTTAAAAAATATATTACCCCTAAAAAGCGTATTACTATCCCTATCCAGCCTATAACGGGTTTTAAATAGAATAACAAAGAATAAAAAGAGATTAAGCGTATAACCGAGAAAGTAGAATTTATAAAAATAAAATTCCTACTAAAAGCGGATAATAAATAGATTCCTTTAAGTATTGAAAATAATAATATCGACAATTCGGATATTGAAGATTCGGATACTAAGAATTCGGATATTGAGGATTCGGATATTAAGGATTTTAAACTAGATATTTATAACGCCGACAACCCCGATATAATTATTGAATAAATAAAAATAGAGGATATTATTATAATATTATTTATTAATATTAATATAATAACGCTATATAAAGAGCGATTCTAGTACATTATATACTTACTTTTTAACTTTAATATTTAAAAGTATACCAATAATAAAATAAAGGATTAAATAAATTTTATAGCGAAGAATTTAGATAAGGGGCTATACTTTACCTTACTCGAAAAAATACTAATAAAATTTAAGGACGGAGGCGGTTTTATATCCGTAAAAATAGGAAGTTTCCCTAAAATAAGGTTCGATAATCTTTTTTCAATTAGACCTTCAAAGATAGTCTACAAAAATAGTATATAGAACAATATATATAAAAGTAAATAAGTACCGGCTACCCGCTCTAAGCGTACTAATTATATTAACCGTTCCTCTAATATTATTCTCTATTTATATAATTAAACCGAATTCTATCCCCTCCCCTACAATAATAATAATAATAATAACGGAAGTACTATTTAAAGTAAGGAGTAGCCGTTCAACTTCTCGAAACCTATTACCCCCTAAAAGTAGGAACGATAGGGTTCGGAAAAATAAATATACCTTATAAACTATATTTAAATCTACGAAAATTATAAGTATTATAATTAAACGTATATCTCTACCGTATAAATGGCCGTTTTTTTTACAATTATACGTTACTTTACAAGCTATTTTTTATATTAACTCTATAGAACTTCATATCTTTTTGCTGTTAAATTTATTCTTATCCTTACTATTCGAAGAAAATTAATAGTAGGGGGTAATAACCCGGGTTCTAAACGGATACTTCTTATCCTTATCCTAATTATTTTTTATTTTTATAGTTATTATACTATTAACGTTCTACTTTACCTGCCCGGTAAAGTTTTGAAACTTCCCTTCAAATTCGATGGATATTACTACAGTATTCGAAATTAGGCCGTTAGATACCTCTAGATATAAATACGCCAAAAGAATCTCAATACGGGAAATAGAATATTTTCTATAAGACTAATAAGTAACTCGGAGTCTCGGATTATTTCGAAGTTAGCTTAATAGGTAATAGGTATTAATTAAATTAAAATAGAATTTTAAATTTACTTTATAATTACCTTAGCAGTCCGAATTATAAAAAATATAATACGTACTAATAAATTATCTTTACTCAAGGTTCTTTTTAGCGTCTTTAATTTAAATATACTTCTAAAGCGGCGGGACTTCGCTCTTAAAACTTCTTTAATAGCTATAACTATATTGAAGAACAATTAACCTTATTTCTAAACTAACCTTAACGATAAAACTTTTCTAAAGAGCAAATATCTAAAATTAACGATTACTTTTATAGTAAAATGATTTTATATTATAATTAAAATAATTTTCATATTACAAATAGAATTAACGTTCTAACATTATAATAATAGGAAGTAGCATTTCTTAGAAGGGGAGGTTATCGCTACTAAAATACAGTTAATACTTCAATATCAATATAACCGGACGTAGTACTTCTTACAGGTGAGGTTCTTACCCTAATAAAATGTGGCTTGTGCTGGAATGCACTACATACATTCCAAACCCTCTTTGATGAATATTATACTGACGATGATTTTTATAGATATAATGCACTATACGTAACACTATTACAACCGAGGTGAGGGTTTCATTTTCAAGAAGATACTAGGCATTATTTTACACTGGGAAAACCGACCCTCCGTAGGAAGACGGTCCAATCGCACGGAATTGATCCCGCGGACCATTTTTACAGATACCGTGTGCGCGCTATGGTACCTCTAGGCATGGACTGGACAATCGCAGCTTCTACCTCCGAGTGGCTTGAGGGGTGTGATGCCCTGTGCAGCGTGGGTGGATTTCCTCCTTCCTTCCATTATTTCCACCTATTGATTGATTTGGAAGGGTGGCAGATCCTTTCTCAACCTCAACAAGCTGATGCAGCTCATAGGCAGTTCCGTCGTGTCGATGGAAACATCGGTTGGAGAGAATCGTCCGTGTTCCGGGATACCACGCTAGCAGTATGTGAGCAACATATGTCGGTCCCACCACGGGCTTGGTTGGTTTGCATGAAAAATTGAGGCCATTATCAGAGTTGGTATAATAAAGGAGGGGCAGGGCCTCGGTGAGGAATAGGTAGTGGTTGGTTGCTTTCCACGGTGGCTCCAAGCATGGTGGTTATCGACACAGAGCATTGTGTAGTACATGTTCTAACTGCATGAGGTCTGTCTGTCCGTCGTGACCCTGGCCGATGTTTTGCCTGGTTTTGTTGCTGAGGTGTTGGGTAATGCTCGTGCGGGGTCCATGGGATTACTGCAACAGGCATAACTAATTATCGGGGCAGAATCTCTACCATAACCCCTCCACAACCGTGTGATTGTTTTGACTGTCGGCCAAAAATACAACCTGTCACACAATTCACTCGGTTCGCCGAATTGATGCCGAGTACACATTGATGTACTATACTGTAGATCAATCCCATGCTTCGCACATTCCATTTGGATTAGTTTGACCATCAAGTCCAGACAGCTGTCCAGCGCACGCTGCGGTGACATCTTATTTCCCGTTACAGCTGCCACAGCCGATGACGTATCGCCGGTTTTTAGACATCACCACTTACCCCGCCTTACCACTGCGATGACAGCCCTTGACTTGGCTGACTCAGGACGGACGCTCGTCTTTTTTTTTTTTTTTTCCTCTTATTTTCCACAGATTGGATGGCAAGAAGGAGGGAGCACCACGATCAGTGGGAGAAAGTAACTTGTAGCAACATCGTGACTCGAGTTCCCGTCTTTTCAGTGCATCGATGATGCCCACACAGCCCACCACCACAACTACCTCTTTGCGCGGCACAACGACAGGTCGAACCGGTAGCATTTTCCATTCCCGTCCATAGCATCCATTGATTGCGACCCAGTCTTACAAGTGCAAGTATCGTCACCCACAACATTGTCCGTTGGCCAGCCAGCGGTGGATGATCGACCAGTTACAGTCTGCATGCTGGAGCCACGGAGCCACTCAACCCAGCTCTTCCGAAAGTACTCTTACTACCTGCTGCGCCAAAGTACCTCGAGGCACCCACCCGTACGCACCTACACAGTAGTCTTGATTGACGTCGAACGATACCTCTATCGAGTGGAAAGGTCCGACCTGACCCCGAGCCCCCGGGAGCGAGCATAGCGAGCAGAAGGAGGCAGGATAATCAGAGCAGCGGAGCTTTCATGATTGAGGATAATGGCCCCGGATCGCGAAAGGAAGCCTGAGAAGGATGACCATTCCAGTTCAAGTGAAGAGGACCAGGATGCGCTTGAGGTAGGGAACCCAATGCACTCCAGACCCCGCGTCCATCCATGCCGAGCATGACCGAAAAACACAGCCTTATGTTCTCCCTTCGTCCCCTTGGATTCTCGTACTCCTCTTCTGCCTGCTGCCCAGTTGCCTAGTAGCGCACCAGCTGAATTATGGCCCATTTGCCCTCCACAGGTCTCGTTCGATCCATCTAGTCCCTATCGGCGCAAGAGCTCTCTAGTAAACAGCGATGCCCGTGTTCCTCTTCATCTCCGGCGATCACAGCCGGCCAGAACGGAATGCCTTGTCCACCAGTTTCTCGACGCCCAGCGACGACCCCCTAGACGGCAAAATACCCTAGATGGACAGGTTGATGGCACTGCCAGTACGAGCACAACCCCTATCGAGACCCGAAACCCCATCACAAGGGGCTTGACCGACATTGCCCGTGATGCCGTCCAAGTTAGTCGTGAAAATAGCCAGGACCAGGTGCTCGACCCAAAAGGCTTCTCGAGCACTGTCGGTAACATCGCCGCCAATGTGCGTGCCCGGGAGTGCTCGATGACCAATGCCAACTCGAGCGACACTAGCGATGCTGGTCAGGTTGATGAGAAGGAATGGAAAAGTGAGATCGTAAAAGCGCCAAACACAGACCCAGAGGAAAAGTACAGCAGGCTCCTCACCAAGAAGCAATTGAGTGAAATGGCATGGGGAGTCCGGGAGCTGAGTCGGCGATTGAGCAGCGTGCGCTTGAAGTTCAAGATCAAGACCATCTTCGTGCTCACCAAGCCGTATGACCAGGAACTAATCCCCAAGACACGCGCCTTGATCCGGTGGTTACTGGATAAGGAACGCGACGTGCGCTACACTGTCTACATTGACAAGGCTTTGCGTTGCAACAAAAAGCTTGATGCACCCGGTCTGATCGAAGAGATCCGCAGGGATTACGTTGAGTCTGGCGAGATCTCAGAGGAAGCCGGCAATGACATATCTGAGCGTCTCCGCTATTGGGACGAGGAATTGTGTCGTGCCAGGCCGCAGACGGCCGACTTTGTCATCACACTCGGCGGTGATGGAACCGTACTATTTGCGAGTTGGTTATTCCAGCGCATCGTTCCACCTGTTCTGAGCTTTTCTCTGGGGAGCCTAGGGTTTTTGACCAAGTTTGACTTTGATCACTATCACGAGACCTTGACAGCCGCCTTCACAGAAGGTGTCAACGTGGCTTTGAGGCTAAGGTTCGAAGGAACCGTCATGCGAAGTCAGACGAACAAAAGGAAACTCGTTGAGGGGGACTCTGACAAAAAAATGGTCTCAAATAAAACAGACAAAGAACAGAGCGGCACAGATGGTCCTGATTGCCAGGACGAGAATGATCCAAGCGAAGAGAAGGAGGAAGAAGAAAAACGAGATCTCGTAGAAGATCTCATCGGCGAGGAAAAGGATGATGAACGAACCCATCGACCAGACGGCACATGGTGCGTGCTCAACGAGGTGGTGGTGGATAGAGGACCCAATCCAAGTAAGTCGTCATTTTCCCACCTCACCCACATCAGGGATCATATAACTAATCTGTGTCTTCAAGCAATGTCATACATCGAAATCTTCGGCGATGACGAGCACTTCACCTCCGTCAACGCCGATGGTATCTGCGTTTCCACTCCCACCGGCTCAACCGCCTACAACCTCGCCGCTGGCGGCTCTCTCTGTCACCCCGAAAACCCCGTCATGCTCGTAACCGCTATGTGTGCGCACACGCTCTCCTTCCGGCCCATCATCCTACCCGACACCATCGTACTTCGCATTGGCGTGCCCTACGATGCCCGGACCGGCTCTTGGGCGAGTTTCGATGGCCGCGAGCGTATCGAACTTAGACCGGGCGACTACGTGACCATCAGCGCGAGCAGGTACCCGTTTGCCAGTGTTCAGCCACAGGGGAGGAGGAGTGAGGAATGGATCAAGAGTATCAATGCGAAGCTTGGTTGGAATACTAGGCAGAAGCAGAAAAGCTTTACGTAGAATACTCTTGACCTGTCTTTTCGACGGTAGGGACGGAATCACGCTTGTTTGCTACGTATACCTCATTCGTCTTGTGGGATATTACATGGAAGCTAGCATTCTGTCGGGGGAAAAGCAAATTGTAACTCAGCGACCTGTACCTAGCGAGTGGCTTCCTTCTTCGGCGTTGTCAAGAACATAGAACATGAAATAAAAAAAATACCGGAGCTTGAAAACCGTGCTTAGAGCTGTTTTAGAAGCTACACACAATGTTTTAAGATGGTCTCCTACCATTCACGAATCTGCTGAGAGCAATGCTCTGTAATGAGGTTCTCAAATCAAACGCTGCTGATGGGCCATGCCTCTGCTCTGACCTTATTCATGTTCTATATGTAATGTTGTCAGATAATCTATAACGCTTTCCAACTTTGAACCTTTCCACAATGGTACTGTACATATACCATCACACTGTAGTCTACCCATAGACTATACCCGTTAACTAATACTTCCCCCGATGTTTTCCCAACAAACACCCGAGCTAACTACACAACTTACAAGGGCGGCAACTCCTCTCTACAAATCGGACACTGTAACCGATACTTCATCCACCCTTCCAAGCAATTCGTATGGAAAATATGTCTACACGGCGTAACCATGTAGGCCTTTCTCGCAAACACACCCGTGATGCCCGACGCCGCTGAATCCGAGGAGCCACCGCTGCCCTTGTTGTTGTTAAACACAGGCACCTCCAACAACTCGCGACAAATGGCGCAGTCGACAGATCGCATGGTGACGCCTTTTTGTTTTTCCCTTTCTTTTTCTTTTTCTCGTTCACGATTTCTTGTGCCTCCTGCACTACCGGTGGTAGCAACAGCGGCACTGCCTTCGCCTGTCGCAGCAGCAGCAGCAGCAGGACCACCCAAAGAAACCACACTCCATGCCCTTTCCCTCACCCTTTCCTCAGTCGGCGACGACGACGATGACGACGACGACAAGCCAGTCCCTGTCCTCGCCAGACCGATAGGTAACGAAACACCTTCTAGATCATCATCTCTCAAAACAGGATGATAATCCCACGCCTCCCTCACCCATCCCTTGGGCACTCCAAACCTCGGCCCAAGTATACTTTGAGCACATATCACCCAAAGCTGGATCCACACCCACGCCACCAAGACCAAAAACGCAAACGGGTCCGGGTCAGCTAGCAGGACGTTATCTTCCCTGAGAAAGAAGTACGCAAACGGCAAGAGACGTAAAAGGGATTGGCCGATCATGAACCGCCAGGAAAACGCCTGCCGGGAATTTCGTTGCGCGTTGCGAATGATTTGGGGCGTCCAGAGACTGAGGTAGAGGAAGGAGAGGGTGTTGACATAGAAGGAGCGGATGTGCGAGGGCCAGGAGGTGGCGACGGCTGAGATGAAGAGGAGGAACAGGCCGGCAAGGACGAAGCGGCCGGTGATAGTGCTGAAGGGGGTTGGTGGGCGCGGTTCGTTTGTGGATGCTGGCTGACCGGGTTGTCGAGCGGTGGCGGGGAGGGGGAGGGCGGAGGCGCCGGAGAGGAGGTTGTTTAGTTGTTCGGCTTCGTCGATGTCGCCGTCTGAGGGGACGATGATGGGTTGGCGAGGTTGAGAGGGAGCAGGAGGAGGAGCTGGCTGTGTTGTGGGTGGCTGAGGTTGAGTGGTTGGCGGCGGTGTTGTTGATGTCGCTGATGATGATGAGGCATTACGATTCGCGGCAGCAGCAGCAGCAGCAGCTTGTTCTCTTTCACGCTCACGAATCCTCCTCTCCGGTTCTTGAATCTTCCAGACTTCAGACAAAAAGGCGCCTTCAATGAACATGGATATGAAGGCCGCAAATGTGACGAGCAAGCAGGGTAGCAGTGTTATTGTCGCGTTGAGACTCCAAGCACAAGCAGTAACAAAGATCATGCCATCGGCAAATAGCATGGTGCCTATTGTCCAGAAGCTGACCCGCCCGGTAGTAGACGGCGTATTTGACTGCTTCATCTGTTCCTTGAAGAGCCAAATCTGACCCAGCATGACAGCAGCAAAAGCAATCAACCATTCCTTGGCCGTGTAAGTGAACATGGCCTCCTTCATGCCGACAAGATGCTCTCCGTCGACCGAAGGAAACTCTGGCGGGCCCTTGGACTCCAGGAAAAACGAGCAGTCGGGAGACCAGGCCACCATAGACGCACGCAAATCGGGACTCTTACCGATGGGCGCCCCTGTGGGATGGCGCAATTCGCGCTCGAGCTCCTCGATGTAGGCTTCGAGCAGCTGGGGAGAGTCGTACTGACGAGAGAGCTCTAGCGGTTGCAATTGGAGGTACATGACATATTCGCATTGTGCAGGGAAGCTGTCGTCGTCCTCCATCCTCGAGCCCCATGGGTTGCCTGGGAAGCCATATTTGCTCTTTTTCCTGGCTTGAATGATTTTACCCAGCGTCTCATTCAGCAAATGCTGGCCGGTATGGAAGAAGCTGGGGCCTGGCGCCAGATGGGGAAGGCCGAAAATGCCGTCAAACTTCTCGCTGCTGGTGGTCAAAAGAATAGCGCCTTGCCGTGGCCAGTGAATACCATGGAGTAACAAGCTCCAGCTGCTAGCCTCGCTTGCGTCATCCTGAATTGTAGCCACGGCTTGAATCTCCCTCGCCAGACTTGCACCCCTTGAAGTTTTGCCCTCGACCTTGTCTTCGTAAACCCCATCCCCTTCATCCTCGTCTATGCGCAACTCGATCTTGCCATGGTCACCGGTGATGTTTCTACCCCATTCACCAAGGCTACTAGGCCAAGTCGCCCCTGGCGCAATGGCACTGAGGTTATATTCCGCGGCTTGTCTGACAACGGTTCCCGGTCGTCGTACCCAAGTGCCATGCAGAGTGCCCGTAGCATTCTTCCATGTCCCACCCACCATACTGGGCTCCCAGCTATCATCGTCCAGCGGGCCAACGGTGGCGGCTGAGGGGAAAGCGTTCCGACTCCATTCGCGACAGCGGTTTCTGAACCGACCGAGGTCTTCCCACGCATACCCCTTCCCATCAAGTTGGCTGAACCCCGTAATGTTCAGAAACCGAGGGCCCTGTTCATGCTTATCGCCGTTCCCCTTTCCAATTTCGCCAGCTGGTCCGTTGGTTTCGGAAGGAGGCCGCGGCGAGGTCGACGACGGCGCATCAGGAGCGAAACCACCCCATCGTGTGGTGTTTAGGACATCGAGGGCACCCTGGAAACGAGCTTCTCGTGCGTGGGCGATTTCAGGCGGCGTCAAACTGGCGGGATCGCTACTGTCCGGGGAAAAGAATATCCATAGAAGGATGAGGACTATCAGTAGAGCTCTGACATCTGAGTTTTGAGAAGGCATTGCGGAACGTTGTCGCGCCTTGTCATCTTTCCATGTCCCCTTGAAGTTGGTGACTTTGTCGTCTGATTATTAAGACCTTAAAAGTTAGATGTAGAGGAAGTTCAAGGGAGCATCGTTGAGTGGCGATGATTGTCGTATGCAGTTACTTCAGTTGAACTGTGATATTTGGTATAATGTAATTATCATTGCACGCCACGTCACGACAAAAAATTGGTGTTGTCTGGTTACGGAGGAATGGGGAAGCTCGGCCGCGGTGGTGATGGAGGCGACCGATGACAGCTCCAGGCAGGGTATTGTTAGTGCATCTAGTAGCGTACTTGCTGAACCCCGCTGATTTACAGTAAAGGGACAGTGCGTCCAGTTGCATGCTTCTACCGGCGCCCTGAACCTTCCGCGACCCGGGCATCCTGGCGGACGGGAATGATGGAAGTGGAAATCATCCGCTGCCCTCAAGGTGCCCATCCCTTTTCCAACATCAACACCCAACTAAAGTCTACGTCAACTGTTGAATCGCTTTCACAAACCCATTTGTCAACCACTGTAGAAAATCTTTGATTCATTCGATCTGTCTTTGTTCAAGAAACTACGAAAGTATTCCAGAACAAGTCACAATGTCTGAAAACGGCGAGGCCAACACCACCACGAGCCCAACAGCGACCAACGCAAGTCGGACACTGTCTCCGAATCTTTATCACGATAGTTCACTCTTGCTGACCACATCTTCTAGTCGGCGGATGACGCCCGTCAAGAGCTCTCTGTTCAGCTTGAAGATCTTCTAAATACACTCTCCAACAAGTTCGCTGGTGTCTCGAGCGAGATCTTCGCCAAGAGTAAGAGTTTAGATGCTGATTACTAGTTGAAGTCTGTGAAGTCCGTGAATGCTAACAGGTTGGGTCAGTGGACGAGATGTCGAGGCGTCTAGATAATTTGGAATCTCAAATAATGGCCGGAAAAGAGAAGCCAAACGGGCCAGCCTGATTTTGTTTCGTCGTGCAAGTAAACAACCCACGTGCGAAAAGGAGTCGGGTTGAGCGAGCGTCATGTGTGGGTCAAGACATTTTAGGATGATGGAGTTTGGGTCTTATACATAGCAGGCGTCTAAACTAATATTTACGCGGGTAGAGCAGTTCACGTACAGTATACCATGATCATGTTGAGCAGCTAAGACATGTCTCTCCTTCACTGTCACTTCCGCAACAAGTTGGCGAAACATGCATTAGGACCAAACATTCATTTATTCAGAATTGGATCTATTATTACAAGCAGCCAGCTACAACTTCAAGGGGTGTTGAGCGATTAGCTGTACATTCAGAGCTCCTCCTTAGCCTCCTCAGCCGCCTTCTCAACAAACTTGCGGAGAACATTGACCTTGACGGTAAGCTCATCAACCTTGGCCGGGGCAAGACCACCCTTCTTGAGGATGCCCTCCAGACGGGCAAACTCCTTAGTGGCATAACCCTCGCTCTTGCTAAGCTTGTCGAGGACGCGGAGGTAGTAGTCGGCGTACTTGAGCTCGGCAGAGTTCTTCAGGCTCTTGACGGCCTCCTTAGCCTCCTCAGCAACCTCAGCCAGGGAGGCGCCGCCGGTGTACTTGGCAACAATCTCATCGAGGGCAGCAATGGTACCAGCAACGGTATCAAGGCCACCACCGGGGGTACGGTGGGTACCGGCCTTCTCGTTCAGGAACTTGACGAGATCAGCCTCGGAGCGGCCGCCGTTGTAGTCCTCGGGGGTAGTGCTTCCCTTGGGGAAGAACTTGATCGTGGGGAAACCGGAAACGCCATACTCGGCGGCGGACTTTTTGCCGGTAGGCGCATCGGCATCAACCTTGGCAATGGTGATCTCCGGGTCGCTGGCAAAGGTAGCGGCGAGCTTCTCCCAGGTAGGAGCGAGGTTCTTGCAGTCTGGGAGTTTATTAGTTCTAATCATTTTCGGTCAAAGATAGAAAGTAACAAAACAAAAAAAAGGGTTTGAAGGTTACGTACGGCCGCACCAGGGAGCAGTGAAAGCAACCAGGACGTTCTTGTCGCCGCCAATGGCGCCCTTGATGGTGGCATCGTTAAGGATGTTAACAAGGCTAGGAGCAGAACCCTTCTTCCTGGCCTTGACGCCGGTCTTCTCGGCAATGAAGTTAGACAGGCTGTCCAAATCACGTCCGCCCTTGTAGTCTACCGGCTGCTCGCTCTTGCCATCAAAGAACTTGAGGGTGGGGAACCCCTGGACACCAAAACGCTTGCCCAGCGCCCTCTCAGCATCGGCGTCGACCTTGGCGATCTGGACCTTGTCCTTCGCGTGCTCCAGAGCGGTAGCAAGCTCCTCGTAGACGGGGGCGAGGTTCTTGCAGTGACCGCACCAGGGCGCGAAGAACTCGACGAGGGTTGGCTTGCCGGACTTGAGGACGACATCGTCAAAGTTGGAGGGGATAAGGTCGAGGACGGCAGACTTGGCCGCCACGGCAGCAGCCAAGCTGGCTACCACCAAGCTCTTAAGAAGGACCATGGTGTGTGAAGAAGCGTGTGGATGAAGTTGTTGATCGCAAACGCTTTGATGGTTGTCTTGGAGAAGAAGGGAAGAAAGGACCAACAGGCGCGAGGTGTTGGTGGCAAAGGGACCTCAAGATAATGGGCAAGGTATCCTAAATTGGCAAAGCTCCAGATGGACTGTTTGAAATCAGATGTGACCTTCTCGGGGAAGATGCCACTTTGCGCTTTGCTGGCAATTCAATAATTCCAGGTTGTCCGCCGGTCAGCAACGGACCACTGGTCAAACCATTGGGATCCTTGCCAGTTGGTCGTGTCAGCGCTCTTGAGCTTCCCCAAAATCCCCTGAAATCCGTCATCCGAGTCGATGGAGCCCCGCATGCTGCGTGCGGTCATTGGTGGGGCCTTCGTTGGAGCTCAAGTCGGTTCTGCTGTACCTAGCCGCACTGTGTCCCCCAAAGTGAGCGGTGCGCGAACGCACGCGATAAGATAGAAAAGAACTATTGTTATCGATAAGACTCCTGGGCTGGCCCGGGGGTGCCAGTACCAGCCACACATGGAGGTGGCCCTGCTGCGCCATTGAATTGTTCTTTTCCCTGCCTGAGACTGCACACTGCACCAGCCACACTTAGCTGCCACGCAACTTGAACTGTGCACTGCGTGCGTGCCAAGCCCGACGTGCACAAGCCCTGGCGGCAGTGGACGAGGGCCAGTTGCTGCCGGACCGGACCTGCGAAACCGCCCACAGAAAAATCTCGCCCCATATTTGGCAGCCCTCTTGCGAAAAAAACCACCTCCCCTCCCCCCAGCCCGACAGACCAAGTCATCGTCAACCCGCCGCCCGCACGACAACGATTTTCTCGCTGTGACAGCAAAACCCCGAAAATCAAGATGTCTCACGAATCCGTCTGGAACTCCCGCCCCCGCACCTACGGCAAGGGCTCCCGCTCTTGGTAAGGATTATTGTCCAGCAACACCAATCATCCATAATCCACAATCTACACATACATCACAGCTGAGCAAGAGATGGGAATATGGCATGGTATTTGCTGTTTGGGGCAAGATCAATGCTGGGGCGAAGTGGCTGTTTTGAGGAAAACGTGAAAGAGGAGGAGAGTTGAGAAAACCAAGTCAAGAATGCGAAAATCTCGGAGGAGGAAAATGCGGCTTCACCACTCAAGTTTGACGAAAACTGAAGTTCAAGTTGCTAACCGGGCGTTTCTTCAACGTTGTTTAGCCGTGTCTGCACCCACTCTGCCGGTCTCATCCGCAAGTACGGCCTCAACATCTGCCGTCAGTGCTTCCGTGAGAAGGCCAACGACATTGGCTTCACCAAGGTAAGAAGAGAAAACACCACGGTGGAGACGGGCGGAACTGCGCACGCGACTGGAAACAGTGGAAAATCCGCGGTGTCACGAACGAGAGAAGGGCACATCTTGCGGAAAAAAAGAGAACCTCTACGGCCAAGAAGTCACAAACACTGTTCCCAGTCGCGTGAAGCAAGGGTTATGGGAAAAGAAACAAGACGCATGGCTAACTCGCTTGTCTTTTCTTGTAGCACCGCTAAACCCCCCCCTTTCTTGACATGATGGGAGGTTTTGGTAGGGGACGATGATGAGGGGAGGACACAAAGGGTCACAGCATCATCACAGTCGAGTTCCAAATCGTTTCGTCATCTACGGGAAATGCAAAAAATGTCCAGCCAAAGCAACTTGTCTCGTTCGCGCGCGACGTGTGTCCCTATATCGTTAGACGACATGCCGATGACGGAAATCTCGACAAAGATGGATTAGGGAACAACGACAACGAAAAAAAACGGGGGTTCAGCCTTGATCCATGACAAACTACAACCCGAGACGACACGACGACACTTGACGAAAACGAACAAAGTAGCAATGCTTTTGTTCATCATCACATTCCTTGGAGTTTTTGCTTGCTTTGCTTGGTTTTCTTTCGGGATTCGGGTTTTTGGGGCCTGCGGAGTCAACACAAGCAAAAGAGGAACAGGGCGGCGGACTGAGGAACAGCAGAGGTTAGACTCTGTCTGTTTCCCTCCCATCGAGCGATCAATAGACCGGCGTGATTCTTTGGTCAACCAGCATTCTGTCTCGTTCTCATATCCCTCTTCAGCCGTGATCTGTGACTTTTGTATGATTTGCGTCTAGTATCGGTGAACAACATGTGCGAACCTTGATGACCAATGGCGGTGGACTTGAGCATAGCAAGCGCTTGTCCATTGAATCTACGTGCTGCTCGGCTCACAAGTCTCAACAAGCACATATCCTATTTAAACTTGGTCAACCACAAGAGGGAATGGACATTCACTTAGTACGTTCTAGCTTCTATCATTGCTTTTTTGAACCATCTATATCACAAGATTAACAAGACAATAAGAGAAGAATATGAGGGGAGAGATCATCACTAGGGCCCAAAACACTCTTTGTACAAAATACATAAAAAAAAGGCATTTCAGATCCATAAACATTCATTGCTTTACATCGTACACTGTAGGTATATTTCTCTTTGAACTCCTGACAGCAAACCCGCTTCTTTTGGCGGCTCGCGGTCCCTTTTTCCTTGCATATGTGCGTGTGTGTGTTTTACTACCTTACCGGGGCTCGTCTAGGCTCGGTTCGGCGTGATATATCATTACATAGCTTTTTACAACCTCAACATCTCACAGTGAGTAGTTGATAGCTTATTCCATGATGCGGGTAATGATACCAGTGGCGACGGTGCGGCCACCCTCACGAACGGTGATACGCTGACCGGCCTCGACGGCAATAGGGTGGCAGAGAGTGGCAACCAACTCGCAGTTGTCACCGGGCTGGACGATCTTGGAGTCGGCATCCTCGGTACCCTCGGGGAAGGTGAGCGAGACGGACTCGTCGGCGGAGCGGATGAACATCTGGGGGCGGTAGTTGGCCTGGAAGCCGGTGTGACGACCACCTTCCTCCTTGGAGAGGACGTAGAGGGAGACGAGGAACTTGGTGTGGGCCTTGACGGAGCCAGGGGCGACAACGACCATGCCGCGCTTGATGTCCTCACGGCGGATACCACGGAGGAGGAGACCGGAGTTGTCACCGGCACGGGACTCCTCGCAGGACTTCTTGAAGGTCTCGATATCGGTGACCTTGGTCTTGATGATCTCGGTACCCTTGCCGACAATCTCGACATCCTGGTCGCGCTTGAGGGTACCACGCTCGACACGGCCAGAGGCGACGGTACCACGACCAGCGATGGAGAAGACATCCTCAACGGACATGAGGAAGGGCTTGTCGAGGTCACGCTCGGGGGTGGGGATCCAGTCGTCGACGGCCTGCATGAGGGCATCGATCTTCTCAACACCGATTTCGGGGCGCTTGCCCTCGAGGGCGCAGAGGGCGGAACCCATGATGACGGGGGTCTCATCACCGTCGAAGCCGTAGCTGGAGAGGAGCTCACGCATCTCCATCTCGACGAGCTCCAACATCTCGGGGTCGTCAATGGCATCGACCTTGTTGACGAAGACGACAATGCGCTGGATACCGACCTGACGGGCGAGGAGCAAGTGCTCACGGGTCTGGGGCATCTGACCATCGGAAGCGGCGACGACAATGATGGCGCCATCCATGGAGGCAGCACCAGTGATCATGTTCTTGATGTAATCGGCGTGACCCGGGCAGTCGACGTGGGAGTAATGGCGGTTGTCGGTCGAGTACTCGATGTGGGCAGTGGAGATGGTGATACCACGCTTGCGCTCCTCGGGGGCCTTGTCAATGGAGCCATAGTCGAGGAAGCTGGCGAGGCCCTTGTCGGACTGACGCTTGGTGATGGCGGCAGAGAGGGTGGTCTACGCGGTGGGGGAGATATGTACGTCAGTCCTCAAGGTCTCTTTGTAGGGAATCTATTTCTATATGTACCTTGCCGTGATCGACGTGACCAATGGTACCAATGTTGACGTGAGGCTTGGTACGCTGGAAGACGGAGGCGTAGGAGCGGTTGAAGTTGAGCATGGGAGACTTCATGGTCATGAGGGGGTTGGTGCTGGCACCGGCCCGGGCCGCCCTCATGAAGGGGGCGATCGTCCTGAGAATCGACATGGTGACTGAGGGTATCCGCAAAAACACACACAAGGAATGAGCGGAGGAGTTGAAAGGAGAGCGAGCCAACAAGACCTCAGACGATACGAGGAGTGCTGGACGGGAAACCTTCGACCTGGGGAAAATATTTGGCTCGATCCAAAATTTTGGACATGTCGCGCATGGGCCCACTGCCATGCCAAGACCTACTTTTCCCTATCGTGCGGGGCATTTTTGGCGCGCACAAAGTGCACTGCGAACCGTGCACGCTGCCTCTCTGCCGAAGATCGAGATGGGGTGAACGGTTTCCCGTTCCAGTCCGAATTTCAGCTCGAGAACCAGACCACCAGTTCATCCAGCAGAGCGGCTCATGTTTGTCTCCATTCACAACTTCAAATGTTTACCGACGTTCTCGCATGCTACGGCACTCTCACCTGCTGCAACTATCATAGGCTTTGCGTCGTCATATGTTTCCATCTTTAATTCACTGCCCTGAGCACCCTCACGTCCTTTTTTTTTTTTTTTTTTCTTTTTTTTTTCCACTCATCTCCAGGACCTCAGGTGGCTGCGCACCTTTACGGTTTGGCGATAGCATCAAAGTGGAGAGTGGAGACACTTTGTACTGACACGGCGGGTACTGTACTGCTTCCCCGGCCTCAGGAACCGACCCTATGGTCCCTTTCAGCGAACTTCATGCCTTTCGTCTTGGTTTGCTAATATTCCTCCAGAGCGTGTTCACAAAAGATGCCTAAGTAGGATATCACATCACGGCTATCCCTCAAACTTGTTTCTTCAGTGCACGCAAAGAGCCGAGCGTCTTGGGAAATGTCTGACAAGTGTCTTGGAAACATAAATAACCCTGATACGCTTGGGCACTCGCCGCATCATGGGCACCAGTCAGATACGTTCGAGCACTTCTGCCATTCGTTTGGCGAAGCTGATGAAAGCTGTCCTTCATATATGTTTATCAGGACCCGTGCGGTTGAGATAATTACTTGGACAAGGGACCAAAGAAAAACAAAAACGAGCAAATACTTCAAAACATCGTTGTCATCGTTTGGGTCTGGTAGTTGCGAGATCTCGAGAGTCACGGCTTCTCTATTCGATCTTACAACGCGACCTGGGACCATCTTGTCTGAGCTCTAGACGAAGGGAATGGAATAGCTTTCCACGGCTCAGCTCCTATGACCTCCCACTTGAACCCAGCAGACATCAGAGAAAGTTGCGACCGTGTACTTTTTTTTGATAGGAACGATCATATGGAACAGTCACCTCTTGATCGGTGTCGAGATGGTGTCTCTTTGTCCCGTATGAGAGTACCTCATCTAACTCAGTGTTCAAATCCGCTCAAGCTGGCGACTCAGGCGTCAGTCTTCATGGCGATACAGTGACTCCCCTATCGACGACCAATTTGATCTGCTCCTTGCCCGCGTCAGTCAATCAGCATCGAGCCGGCAATGTCGTGTCCAACATGCGCTTCCCTTGCAGAAGCCACGATGCCCCCTTTGGTACACCATTTCATTGTGGTTGGTGTTTTATCTTGCCGCCTATTTTGTGACAGACTTTCGGTCGGTATTGATCGTCAGGGGCACGAGCTTAATTCTGATACAGATCTCAGGTAGCATTGCGACCCCTGCCCCCAGGTTTCTCTACGCTGCGAATGCTCGGATCTCTTAAACAAGTCTTTGACCCCGGTGGCTCGGTAAAGCTTCTTCAACAGTCTCCGTGCTTGGCACGAGGTTTGATCGTGACGAAGCGAGGGTTATCACAGACTCCGGGGTCGGTAGCATCGCTAGGAGCCTGCACTCCGTGGTCTAGATGCTGCAAAACGCCTAGAACCTTATCTTCGAGCATCTAATCCCGCTCGGAACTTCTTGGCAGGTCTCACATATGGCAGACCCTGGCGCTATACCGAGCTAAACCATTATACGATCCTCCGCCACTGCATCGTCTTGGTATCTTCATTCCCCTGAGACTTTCCTCGCCTTGCCTTTCTTGTCGGCCGTTCGCCTCCACGAACGCACAGAGTCAGCCGCCCTTATACCCTCCCCATGCCGGTGATTGTTACCCCCTTGCAGGAGCTTTTCAGCGTTCAGGATCCCACTCACAGGCAGTTAGTTACCCTTTAGTTGTAGGTGATGAGTCTGACTTGGCGTTTCACAGAGCTGTATCGTACTCTCCTGTAACTCACGATGCTAGCGCTTGTGGGTTAGGTTACGGCAGTGATGAGGTCAACATAGACAGTAGCTCGTTCTACTCCTTCGTCATTGTCGTACGTTTATCTATAAAGATCACTTGTAGACACCTCCCCAGTTGCCTTTTCGTCTCCATCTCATATCCGTCATCGACAATCGGCCTTCCAGTTTCTTCTTTCACCAGGCATCTTCACTCGGTATTCCCATTCTCATACGCTGGTCGTAGTCGCTGGTCGCATAATCTTTTTATACTCTTAATATCTTTTATTTCATCTTACTACCGAGTCCTAAGAGCAAGTCCCTGGTGGTCGCTGCTACAACTTTTCAACATGGTCAACTATAACTTTCTCATGTTCGCCGGCCTGGCTGCCGCTCTTCCGCTTAATATCAACTTGGGGGCGTACTCCCCTGCCTTGGTAGTTGGTAAGTTGCTACTTTAGCACCCATCCTGGAGCACCAGATACTTGCTACCCATGCAATACACAGTCGCTAACCCCCGAAAACAGGTGATGGTGAAATAAGCTTCGGAGGTAAACAGGACGTCTCAACACTGATGAATGCACTTGAAGGCGCTGCGGTTAACGCTGCCGCAGGTGCTGCTTCCAACGCCCCTGTGGCTTCCGCCCCCGCGGCCGGTGAAAAGAAAACAGTTCAAGCTGCCGCTGTTCCCGCTGCTGCTGCTGCTCCTACAATCGCGCCTACGTCACCGGCTGTCGTACCCACGACCCCCGGAGGCGCCAGCCCGGCGGCAGTCGACACCAGCAACGCTCCCAAGATTGACCCAACTCTTGCTCAACAAGTGAGTACCTTACTCTGGCCACTGCCCTGTATCATGACAAAGAGTTCCCATAAGCTAATGATAAGCCGTCGTCGTCCTCTGTGGTTAAGGCCCAGTCCATTCAGGGCCTTCAAGGCATGGGCAAGAAGTCGATCGCCCCTCGCGCTGAGGAGCCGTTTGACGAGATGGACATGGATGAGGATGAGGATGACATCACGGATGATATCACGGATGCCGCGGCCCTTCTGGACAAGAAGAAGAGAGATCTTGCCGGTTTTGACAGGGCGCTCAAGTTCTCGGAGGCTGCTTTGACCAAGGGCCCCAAGGTCCAGTTGGGCACTGGTGCTGAGGGCTCGGGGGTGGGCATTATTGTGGATAACAATGCCAGTACTCGTAAGTCCTGACCTTGTTCTGTTTCGGTTGTTGATGAGGTTACGCAGTTTGGGATATTTACCAACAGTTCTTTGTGCAGGACCTGCTGCTGCCGCCGAAAAGAAGAAGAAGAAGAAGCGCGACGCCGATGAAACTACCGCCCCTAGACGCAGGACAAAGGTCACGACCATGTATGTCCGGAGGGGTATTCCTGCTTGTAAGTTATCCACTGCATCCGCTTCCTTTGCGTCTTTCTAGTTTTCAAAGCTTTAACATCTCTTCTCCAGCCCTCCAAAACCACCCGGAACTCGCAACCCGTGAGGTCGCCCACTCTCACATTGCCAACGTACCCATCAAGTTCGCTAAGCGCGAGACTGTCACCACCGCCACTGAAGCGAAGCGGAATACTATTGACGCCGTGAACATGAACGTTGATACTAGCAGTGAGGGTGTCACGATGACGTTTGTCGAGACGCTTGATGATGAGGAGGTGGAGGAGGAGGAGGAGGAGGAGCAGAGGTAGGCGGGAATGAAACTGGGATGGACACGAGCAAATGATTGAACAGGAAAATTGAAAGCCAAAACTCAGCAGGGGTGGATGACAAAAACAAACAGGGGAACAAATGTGGAGTTGCGGACAGTCAGTTATGTATGTTTTCAGGCGTCGGTTGATGGGTTGTTTAGGTGCGGAGCATTTGGTTGGTTGTCTCGTTCGTCAAGTAACAGGTTGAAGATACAACAGATATCTCGGGTGATCAAGAATGTGTACGTCTTTCCCGGTCTTCACACTGATGAGTCTGGTTACGGGACAGATGTGAGAATTGAGTACCGAACGAAGACGATGAACGATGTCATGCAATGCGAAAAACAAAAGATGAAAGTTGAGAAAATAAGATACATGAACACGGCCAGCGAGGGTGGTAGTTTTGAGTCTTCATCAATTAATATTACGCAGGAGTATCTGAGTTTAGAATGTGTAGAGTGTTGTACATTACAAAACCTGACCCATGCCATCATACCATGTAAGTGTGTATTTCCGTTCGGGGTATCTTGATTCCTATGGTTCCGTGTGTATGCGAATCCTCTTTATCTCAACCCTTCTTCTTCTTCTTCTTCTTCAAATCAGTGTGACGTAAACTCTGATACATGACTGGGTATATATTCCATCAACGCCCGATCCGCACAGGATGGTAATTCAGCCCTGGCGAAAGATTCTTCGATTATTTCCGCATCGGAAGAGCAGTCGTGAATTTGTTGTTGTCCGTCAGGAAGGTTATTTGTTTCTTCCCCCGTCTGTTCCGTCTTGGTACCAGCCGTTGATGTGCTTCCAATATATTCGGTCTGGCTCCCCTCTCAGTCGAAGTCGTGAGACTTGGTACTGTTGTAATCCATCTCCCTTTCCTCCGTCAGGGTATCTTCTCAGGGTATCCAGCCCATCTTCTTCAAACTGCTGCTATCTCCCAACAGAAACCCTCATTACTCAAAAAGCAGTACCCTTCCTTTATCTCCGGTCATAAACATGATCGCCCTTGTTGGGATACTGCCCCATAGCAATATCCTGCTGCTGCTGACCAAAGCTCATATCGTACTTGTTATAGTTGTTACCAGCATGAGGTGGGCTATACGCCGTGGTGCTGTGCTGCTGCTGGCCGACCGACGTCTCGTTGTACGGGTTGTAGCTCCCGTAAGCACCCGTGTTCCCAGGGGCGACACCGCCCACACGGGTCTGCTCCGTCGTGTAACTATCACGGACGTCCGAAGGGCTGGTGTGCTCAGGCAGCTTGTTGTTCATCAGATCGGCGTCGGGGTGGCCGCTACCCTTGCCACGCAGGCTGGCGAAGAAACCCGGCTTACGACCAGAGCCGGAGGTGTAGTCGTTGGCGGGCGAGGGGCCATAGCGCTTCTCCTTCTTGCGATGGCGGACGAGGACGACTTCCATGAAGGGGGAGAGGATAAAGACAACGCTAGAGAGAATCGGTTGTTAGCAATTTTTTTTTTTTTTGTTTTTTTTTTGTTTTGTTTTTTTCGCTGACAAAAGGAAATTGATTTTGCAATATGTGAAGTACAGAGGAGAAATGAATAACTAACCATCCGATAATCGACACCGCCAAGCAAGCCGTCTCCATCTTGCAAGCATGGTGCAAGCTAGGAAGGACAGTGAAGCCGCCATGGCCGTTATCGACAACGTTGGTGTCGGCGTTGCCCTTGCCGTAAGGGGTATCGACGATGCCGTCGCACGTGCTGGCGCCGTTCTTATTGCGGATAGCGACGTAGATGAGGGCGCCAGCACAGCAGACGTCAACCACCATCATGATAAAGGAGAAGAACGGCTGGCCGGGGATGCAGCATAGTAGCAAGATGGTGATCAGGGTGTATGCGGTAATACCGCCCGAGATACCCTCGACGGCGCGCAGGTGGACGTCAATGTCGAGGCCATGGTTGGCCATGGTGGCCAAGAAGTAAGAGGTCAGGGCCAACACCGTGGCGGCACAGCCGAACTGGATGCCGCGGAGGATGCCCTGCAGGCCCCGGAGAAAGAGGCCCGTCTTTGCGCCCATGATATATGAAGTGTGTTTTCGGTTGACTGCTCGCTTGCGCTAGGTTTCACTCGATCGAGGAGGGGGGGGTAGGCGGGAGCCGGTCGTATTCGGGGATGAAGGTAGGTTATATGATTTGGTTTGTGTGAAAGTCGAAGATGCTGTTGAAGTAAGGTTTGGGAATGCTCCCTGGGTCGTCCTGTTTATTTCTCTGGGGTATCGCAATCTGCGGTGTGGGACCGTCCTTGGAACTGGTGGGTCGGTTCCTTTGGCGGTTGAAGAGAAGGCAGCTGGCCAGAAGGGATCAGGGGTCTCGTGGTGAAGCCAAGGAGGCTGGAGGCCACCGACTTGGAGGTCGGATGGATCTCACGAGTGGATGTTGCAGGTGGCACTCTTTTCTGCAGCGGTTATTACCGTACCTTACGTGACCGGTGGAAAGGCAGAGAGAGAGAAAAGAAAAAAAAAAAAAAAAGGGGGGGGGGGGGGCGGAATCGAAGTACGGTTGACAAAAAGAAGAAGAAGAAGACAACAGAAGAGGAGGAGAAAGAGCAAGACACCTTTTTCAATTATGAGAAATAAATGTAACGAACTTCCGTAGTCCATCGGCGTGTGAGCATGCACATATTTGTCACATAATCTAGTGGTTATTCACACTTTCTCTAACAGGATGATCGGCTGGACACTCCAAAAAAGTACCCCGTCAGGTGGTAGGAAAAAAGGTCCGGACATTCGCTGGGTCTGGGTTGGTATAAGCGGCCATGTTCGGACTTTTTTTCACACCACCTGCCAGTCTCGGTCAGACGCAAATTTCTGGAAGTGACTAGACAAAGAGCCTGTAACTCAAAGCTTAGCTTCAAAAGCAGCACCAACGAGAGCTGATCTTTCTACAATTGGGAGGTTAAGGAAGTTGCCTGAAATCTGATGATAGATTAGAGGTAGGTTGTAAAGGTTCGTAACGTAAAGTGGTTACACGAGGCCGTGGACCCTTCTATGTACGATGTTAGTCGCCCGAGCGAGCAGCAACACTTCCCATAGCAAACCCGATAGTGGGCACATAACAGCTTTAGCTTTGCGAGAACAGCTATCCCGCGAGTCAATTGGGTTCTTTCCTTGCCAACTTTGCCATTCAGTCGCCAAAGCCACCATTTCGAAGCTGTAGAACACTTCTTTGCCCCTGAAAAAAAATATCATGAGCTCGCTAATTTGACGGTGGACGGCCGATCACACCGTGGTTCCGCCCCGAACGCGCCGCTAAATGACGAGCCGTCGACTGCCGGCCGCAGATCAAGCTCTCCAAGAGTCCAATGAGTGGAGCTCTGCATGACATCAAGGTGTGGGTACGTCACATTTCGTTGTCCAATCATACGTCACATCTCTTCAACTGGCCCGCTTCTTTGAGCGACGCCACTGTGGCAGGGTCGCTGTGCCGCACTCGTCTACGCGGCATCTTGCTTGGGTGCAGCAGTGATTTTTCAGGGTTTTAACCCATCAAGTGAACAATCACATGGCATCCGAAACCTTCCAACGTGCGGGAGCAAAAAGGCGGAACGAGTTGTGTCACACACGTAGGCTTTGTTATGCTTTTATATCCCGTCTGCCCGTACAACCTGAATCTGCCGACAATTTGCGGTGACCACAAGGGGCACTGTCACACCGTCAGTCTGGCTCAGTCAACGTTGAATTTCCGTCCATACCGTTGTCGGATTAGCTTCATCGGCACTGTCGGGATGGCGTCGAACGTTCTCCTGCCAAGAAACCAGGTACCATGCAGTCCGATCAAGCATATTTGAATCCTCAAGTTCGGACCCTCACTCGGTCTCTTCGCCTCAAAGAATTCGCGATGTAGACACAAATGAGCTCTCGGGGTGTCGAATTACTTCCGTTTGACGCAAAACAAATGACTTGCCCAGTCATCGCGGCATGCTGCAAGCGCTGGGGTTGTCCGTTCTGCCCGAGTCCATAAGCTAGTAATCACCGCGTGGCGAGGATCAGCAGACTCAAACAAACAAAAAACCTGGGGTTGAAATAATGGCTGAATCACATCGGCTTTCTTTGACAGTAAGGTTCAAAATCAGATGTCCGCTCGACATGACACAGAACCGATACCTCCTCCAGAACATCCGGTGCGCAACTTTTGTTGAGAGGAGTATGGACGACAACAAGGACGCGGTTCTGCAACATACTAGCTAGTATGCTCCAAAGCTCGGCATGTCTGGGCGGGCGCCATGTCTCGCAGACGTCGAAGAGTCGATCTGGCAGTGACGGTAGCAGGTGTACTATTATGAGCATCAGAACTGGCTAATAGTTGAATGGATGACTCTCGCGAGCAGGTAAGCGCCGCCGCTCAATAATTTGGCATACCCTTGGCCGTGGCACTTCCAGATGCCAAAAGCAACTCGCTCGCGCTGCTTTTCTCAGAGAGGAGCCATAGCTGGAGCAATAACCCTTTATCAAGCTTCTTCCGGAGAAGAGAGTAATGAGAAGGGGGGCTCTTCAGATCAAGAAACCTAGGGCCTTACCAGGTGCCATATCTGCTGGAAGATCCGACCTCTGTCGGGGGGTCAGTCAAGCGATTCTTCCAGGCATGGTAACAGCACGCATTGTGAGTGCTACATGCAGCCTGCGTGCTTTGCCAACTGGATGATTCTGTTACCGACCACAGCTGACGTGCAAGCAACGGAAGGCGAGAACCTAACGTGTTCCATGCTGGCGAGCGAGGAGCAACGGCTGCGACCTCGGAATACAGTAGAGATCAACGAGATAGTATAGTAGGTAGTAAGCAACTGACTGAACGGACAGAGGGGACTAGGTCACATTTTCCTTCTGGGTAACCTAAGGTCTAGGAAATAACCCGAAACCTGTCAGGTCCGGCCTTTATTCAGTCCGACAAAAGACACAAGTCGGAAGGGGAAGGCGGGAAGAGCACTTGCTTGCATAGTTCTCATTGGGAAAGAACATTCCCAGGTGTGGTGTTGTTACCTAGAGGTAGGTTCCATATCATTACTACCTAGTCCGGATCAATACTCGGGGTTTTTCGAGGTCACAGCATTTAATGCTGGGACTTGGGCTTCACAAACAGGGCAAATCACAATCTGGGGGTGCGTGAAAAGTTTCTTATAATCAGTCTACAGACCAACCCCGCATCGGCGTTATTGTATCTCGAGGTAGACCAACTTCATCAACGACAAACCCTTGTTCCTTTTCGAGCGTGTAATTTGTCGTCGGGGATTTAAGATAGATTGAAATATGGAGAATGAATCGGGACCTGTGCACAAGAAGATGGACGGCCGATCGATCGGCAATGCTTGTTTGAATGTTGTTGTTTCCCGGCGCCGGGCCGTGCCCCCGCATACTATACTCCGCACTTGGCTGTTTCAATCTTCCGGGACGGGAGGGAATGCCACTGATCCTGGTACACCTGGTAAACCTCCACAGTGACATTGAGCAAAGAGGACTACAACTGAAACTACTCCTGTCTGCCCAGTTGGCACGATGTTGAGAGCACTTACCGTACTCTCTTTGCTCTTTTCTAAATCTCCGCAAGCATCAGGAGGTCTCAACATCACCATCCTTCAACCTGACGTGCCCTTCGTCCCTCACCCTCACCCTCTTCCCGGCGCTGCGTCCGACTCAAGAGAGATCATTCGTCAGCTTGTAGAGCTTGATCGTTCAACGAAATGGAAACTTGTCGATAAGGTTCAATTCGAAGGCGACACCTACGAGCCCGAAGGAATAGTTCGCATCGGCAATGACCGCTACTTCGTGTCGGCTGGTGAATACATTGTGCCGACAGTCAAGTACAATGAGACCATCAACGGCACGGATCGCACAGCTGGCGAAGGGTTCGCCCATATGATCATCTTCGATGGCAAAGGGAAGCGTATTGCTGATGCCTCAATCTCACAAGCCAAGTCTCTCGAGGTCTGTCCGTCCGTTGCGCAGCCCGTTCTGAACAATGTTACCGCGGCTGACAGCACAAGTAGTACCACAACGGCGGCATTGACTACGATGGAACCTACATCTGGGCCACCCTCTCCCAGTACCGTCCCAACACAACAGGAACGCTTGTGAGGATGCGCCCCGACACGCTGGTACCAGAGCCCATCCTGAGCGTTGCAGACCACCAGGGAGGAGCGGTCCACGACACAAAGTCCGGAGCTGTGGTCACCTTGAACTGGGGGTCGCGCAAAGCGTCGATCTGGAACGGGCACGACAAGCATCTGGCGCCGCCCAAGTTCACTCAGCCGCGGGCAGTGGTCAGGAATCCGAGCAGCTTCATTGACTATCAGGATTGCAAATTCCTGGGTCGTTACGAGCTTTACGAGACCCGGCCGGTGATGTTATGCTCTGGCGTTGCAGACTTGGCGAACACGAGAATCGGCGGTATCGCGATAGTGGACATGGAAACTATGGTTCCTTTACACGAGGTTCCTGTGACTTTGGTGTCGGAACATGGTGCTGCAATGACCAAGAATCCAATGGATGTGGCTGTCGTGGACGGTAAGATGAGGCTGTTTTTCCTGCCCGATGAGAGGAATTCGACTCTCTATGTGTACGAAGCGGTTTGAGTTAGGACACACCGAGCAACGTGGATTATTCTTTTTGATATTTGTTTTGGAGTGTTTTTGCACCTTTTTTTTTTTTTTTTTTTTTTTTTTTTTTTTGGCCTTCGTCAGGGGTCATTAGAGCAGGTCAACCGGGCTTATTCGGAAAGTCATGACAGTAGGCCTCGGGTCTAACTTGTTCTAGATCTGCTCTGTACCGTCGTGATTCGAGAAGTAGAGTTTCGCTTTGCTTCTGCTTGGTGGTTGATGACACATATTTGACAAACTAGTTTGATCCTTCATATGGAGAAGTTCTTGAAGACATGCTTTGACTTTGATCTGCTCCTGACTACAAGTTCTGTGGTGAGCTATTCAGGTCTGGTTTGTGTGGAGTTTTCGCGGATGTTCCTTATCATGGGGCTGTCAATAAAAGATCGAGTGCGGCCGTTGCTTGCTGTTGGCTTCCATGAGGTTGTGCAACCTTCTTCGTTGCCTTGTAATAGGGCACAGTGTAAGGATGATTGATGTAGAATCGCAATCATGATTTACGACGATCCATACTGTTTCATACGAGTGAGTACCAGAAGAATTGGATTGCGGGCGAATGGGTATACTGATGTGATAAACTGCCCGAGCTGGATCTAACTTTCAAATAACTGGTGATGTGCAGCCCACCGAAGGTGCTGGGTGATGATGTTCATCTTTGATAGGCTATTGATAGGTGCTCCCGTCCCAACCGCTCAGCAGGAGACTGCTGAGGTCAAGCGAAGGTCAACTGATGGAGCTTCCCTTCCTGCTACATAGCTGGCTTGGCGGCCCGCATCAGTTAGTGGGGACTTGGCCTGGACTTACACTGTTAGTATTACTCTTTCCTTGCAGCAGCAAACTGCTCGGGGACATGAGAATTACTAACAGGCGCTACTTTTAGTATGTACCCACTACGCGAGCCCTGCGTCACTATCTCCAGGTCTTGGAAGCCGATAGGCTCACGGTCGAAGGTTCTACAACCTCCTGTTCCTGCTACACACGCCCTTCGCCAAGGCATTTTATGGCCTTGTCCCTCCCTCTTCCAGCAAGTGATAGCTTCCTCTCCGACTCTGTGTTGCATCTCAATTCTGTGCAATATCTGAAATCCCTACTCTTGCATTGCGAATTTGCTCTCGCGCATTTCATCAAGATCGACTCTGACAGGCGCTTTACGAGCCATCCAAGAGACCCACGAGCGCTATAGAATCGCTAACGTCTAATACGCATCTGTCATCGCTACCTTACTCTACCTTAATTACCCTACCCGCACCACTACAATAACACAGAACAAGTCGGGTTAATCGTTCTCCCTTGCACCTAACGACCGCCGAGACACTTCGCGGCTCTAAGCAAGCTTCGCGAAACAGCCTCTACATTCTTATTAGACTCACATACACTACACTCGTCTCTAATATCGCGTCACAAAGATGGTCAAGGAAACGAAGCTCTACGACCTGCTAGGGATCAGCCCTACGGCTACCCAGGACGAGATCAAGAAAGCCTACAGGTAAGCATATCTCCAACCCGAAACCCCACATAACTGCTCTCGCAGTGTAAGATCGAGGTAGAGGTCTCCTCTTTCCTACACCATCCTTCTTTTAGTTTGGCATTCACATCATCCTCTCTTACGGCCATCAGTGGACCCCTGCTGACCCCTCACCAGGAAAGCCGCCCTAAAATGGCACCCCGACAAGAACAAGGACAACCCGGAGGCTGCCGAGAAATTCAAGGAGTGCTCTCAGGCGTATGAAATCCTTTCGGATCCCGAGAAACGCAAGATGTACGACCAGTTCGGCCTTGAATTTATCCTGAGAGGCGGCCCGCCCCCGACTGAGGGCGGCGCAAACCCATTTGCTGGAGCCGGTGGCATGCCCGAGGGCTTTGCTTCTTTCTTTGGAGGAGGAGGCATGCCTGGCGGCGGAGGAGGTGCGAGAACATTTTCCTATGGATTCAATTTTACCAACCCCGAGGACCTCTTCCGGGATGCTTTTCGGGATGAAAAAATGGGTGGTGGCATGGGTGGTGGCATGGGCGGAATGGGTTTTGAAGACATCCTCTTTAATGCTGCGCGTGGTGGTGCAGGACCGCGCCGAGCTGCGAGAAACCCCTTCGGCGGCGGCGACAACATGCGCAGCGCCCGCCAAGCAACACCCGAAGTCACGACAGTTGAACGCCCCTTGCCCGTATCCCTCGAGGATCTGTTCCACGGCACGACGAAGAAAATGAAGATCAAGCGCAAGACCTTTGACGAGACTGGTAAGCGCACGACGAGCGATACCGTCTTGGAGGTACCAATCAAGCCCGGCCTCAAGAAGGGTAGCAAAATCCGGTTCAAGGGTGTTGGTGATCAAGAAGAGGGTGGCCAGCAGGATCTGGTGTTCGTCGTCGAAGAGGTACGTATAAACTCCCTCCCCTTTCCTCACGCATTGCCTTTTTGAAGGAATGACCAGCTGACAGTGTCTGTATTAGAAACCACATCCGCTTTTCACTCGGGACGGCAACGACCTCATTCATACTATCGACTTAGACCTCAAGGAGGCATTGACAGGGTGGAAGAGAACCATCACGACGATCGACGGCAAGAGCATTAACATTGAGAAGGCCGGTCCGACACAACCTGGGAGCCAAGATGTATATCCGGGCCTGGGCATGCCCATCTCGAAGCAACCAGGCCAACGGGGCAACCTCATCGTCAAGTATAATGTCAAGTTCCCCACCAGCTTGACGCCTGAACAAAAGGAAAAACTGAAGGAAATCCTCTAAATGGGGTCAAGCGATGAGTATCGGTTCTCTGTAGTAGTTCACTCTCGGATACCTTTGTCCTTCTTGTCGCCTCAACACGAAGGGACCAGCAGTCTTCAGGATTCGCCTGAAGAACAGCTTTCAACGCCGGCCTTTGGCAACATTCGGGAACCTGTTCGGACCCACCCCCTTGAGGGTATGTAGAATGGCGGGCGTGTTGGATTTGTTTTCTACCCGGGGGGCATTTGCTTTGGTCTCTGTCCGCCATGTGCGGTTCTTGACCATGGTCCACCATATTTGGGCGTTATTGGATTCGTTTCTTTTTTTGGTGCTCAGCTTTCATCGCGTCAGGCTCGCATTGAGATTGGTATTGTTGGTTTAGGCGGCATATGTGGTGGGAGCTGGTGATGACAATTTTGATGATAATGAGTATCCCCGACAAAAGTTCATAGGCCCCCTGTTGTGAATGTTGGGAGAGGAAAGGGCGCTGGTCTCTCTTAGCATGTTGCGTTCTCTCAAGGTTAAACAATAGCCAGAGACACGCGAGGCCAACGTCAATGGGAATACCATAGCAGGCTTAGATATCAAATGGCTATATCTTTTATAGAAGACGGCTCGGGATATTGCATCTCGGAATGGTTTCAAGGGTGACAATCCTCGGTCATCACCACCAAACGACACAGACGAAGAGAAAGTTGATCGTGACCATGGACTACCAAGCGGGGTAGCTAAAACCGATAGATGGACATAGTTACTACAGAATGCAAATCAATGTGCCAGAAAATTTCTCTCTTCTCGACTTGACCTTGGAGAGAAACCGTAACTTGCTGAAAGACGACGCGGAGGGACATGTGGGAATATGAGCGAGTTCCAGCTACAACATGTTGACCAAATAAACACACACTACGTATCTTAGGGGGGAAGCCACGGCGGGGCTGAATTGAACTGCATACTTGGGGGTTAGCAGTGGAGTCTTTTGCCAACCCCCTCTCATAAAAGAGGGGGGAAATTTTCTGTGGGACAACCGTTTAATCTAGGACAAGCGCCGATCGGTACCATGCACAATCGGCTATTAACGCTGCGCAAAACCACTTTTTGACATCGTACACACCGGCAACACAACCACACTCAAACTCGCTATTTCTAACCGCCAACTCGTACTCTATATTTTAAAACTATAAAAGTAAATAGTCTATATATATCTATAAATTAATAGAAGTTAACCTATTATTACGTAATAAATTTTAATAAATATTTTACTAAAATAAGGGAAGTGCCCGCTGGCTACCGTAGCGCCCGTATATATTTAATTACCTGTAATTGTATTAAATATTTTAATAAGCGTTTTAGAATATTATATAAACCGCCGACTATTAGGGAGATTATTATTATTATTAGGGAATCCCGTATATTTATCTTTCGCTATATTAAATTGCTAATTAAATATTGTAAATTAATTATTTCATTATAATTAAAAGGTTACCCCCGTATATTAATAGCCGCCGAAGAGGATACTATTATATTATACGTAATATTTTACTTCTAGGGACAATTCCCTACGTTATATTAAATAGTTATCGGCGTAGTAAATTAATTATAATTTTTACGGAGCGTTCTAGAGATTTATAATACGATATGGTTAGTGAACTTCCTTAAAGATTATTTAGAGTTAAAGACTACGATTTACTATGCTATTAATATTAAAAGGAAGTTTTAGGAATTGAATGGAGATTCTATTAATAAGTAGTTCGATAATTATAAGGCTATAATTAAGAAGTATAATATTATTGGGGGTAATATTTAGAATTATAATAAAATAGGGGTAAAATTCGGTTACGTAGTAGGCGGGCGTATAAGGGTAATTATATTTAGGGATTTAGTAAAGTAAAGGGTAAGTTAGTATATTACTTTATTAGTAAATTTATATAGGGGTAAATACTTACTATTTATTATAATTAGAAATTAATAATATTACTAATTAAAAGTCAGTTACCCATATAATTAGCATAAATTTAATTAGTAAAATTATCCCTATTTATATAATATTTAAGATAGATTTAATAAAGGACTTTATTATTAATAACCTTAATAATACTATCCGGTTTACTAAATCGCCGATTAGTTTTTCGAATGCCGACCTTATATTTAATTAATTAAAGTATTTTAATTAACATTCCTTCTATTCGTCTTTAATATTTATAAAATTGAGGGAGGAAGATAGTTATAAACTAGGAAATAAAGGGTTCTCTTTTTAAAATTAGTTTAAGTATAATTAGTATAGGGTTAATTATATTAGTAGGAAATTTAATAATTTAAATAATGGAGTAGGGTTGAGAAGGCTATACCGATTAGTCTACTATCTATTAATTATCGATAGGTTTAATAATTACTACAATATAGAAGTTAAAGAGTATATTAATATTTTTAATATTATATTAATAGTATTGCCTTCCTATTTAACCTATATAATATAGTCGTTTGACGTTGGGGTATTCTTATTCTTTAAAGTTTATTATTAAAAGGTATTACAGCAATTCGTTTAATATAGAGAATTTAGTTTTATTCGCGCTATATTTATTAGAGAATTTGAAGTTCGCTTCCCCCCCTATACCCTCGTCTCGTATTCCTATTAACTATAGTATCCCCAATACTTTAGTATATCCTTAATAGTAATATAACCGGGTATAATATTTTTAATAGATTTTTTAATATTAATATATAATTAATTAATTATACGAAAATTTTAATATAAATCCGAGCAAAGTAACTTAAAAAAACTAACCCCACCTTACTCTTATTATTCTCCAAAGAAGACCGCTTTTAAAAAGCTACTAAAATTATCACTTATATTAAAGATAAATATTACTATACATTTAGCTCGCCAACGCGTACCCGTTATTACGCTACTGAAATTGTAATTTATAAAGCGTTATTAATATATAATATTATATAAGAGTATAACCATTAAAACCGAAAGAAAGTAATTAACCTCAACCGTAAAATAAGGAGACGGGTATATAAAGTGCTAAAGGAGGGTAAAGTATTAAGTCTTTTAAAGGAGGATTTTAATTAATATACTATTAAGAGGTAGTAACGAGAGTAGTTAATTAAAGAGAAGAAGTAATTTATAACTGTTAAATTATATAATAAAAAAATTTAAAAGTAGGTTTACAATAATTAGATTAAAAATTCGGTTAATAGTAAGGGTAAGATTATATAGAGAATTTATTTTAATAATTGGAAGAAGGAGTAGTTAAAGGATAGGTATATACTAAATTATAAAGAGGATATACTTAATAAGAGGGAGAAGGATAAGGAGGATAGGGATAAGTTATATTATAGCACTGGCAGATGCCATACCCCATCACGTGCAGACCAGACCTATGCGATCGCGCACGCCTTATCAGGCGCCTTATCGCACCCTTCTAAAGCGGTTAGGTATAGTAGAAACACACACCCGGCATTTAAACCCAAAACGTTTCTACCAGCCTTCGGCTACTTCCTTTCTTCTACTTTTTAACTTTATTAACTTATTTAAATCGGCTTCTTTAGCCTAGCCTTATTTATGCCTAGAATTGTACTATTATACTTTAATAAAATTAACTACTACAATAGGGATATTATAAAATATTCCACCCCTTATTTACAATCCTACTACGTACGTATCCTATAGTATAGCGAGGTTCGTATATATCCCGATTTCAATCTAATAATTTCGACAACCCCACCCAACAGTATACGAATCGTACAAATCCAACCCCCCCTAACAATATAGTGCATTCTCCTCTTAGTAAGAAGAAGGGCTATTTATTTAAACCCCCTTCTAATTTATTATATAATAATAATAGTAACTCTTATAAAAATTCCTACTATAAAGATACTAAAAATGAGACCGACCTTGGCGGACCGGTCGGCGATTGTTAGTCGCCTCCCCCTAAAACCCCTAAGAATAATAAGGGAAAATAGCCCTATTAATCCCTTAACGTTCGCTTCTATAATATTTACTTTATTAATAATATATAATCTATCTTCTATTATTATTGTAATTAGAATAATAAGATTTTGGCCTACTGTATATTGTTAGAAGTTATAGTAGTTATCTCCTTAATACCCTCCCCGGGTATAGAGAATATTAAAATTACTATAATAAATAGAAAAAATAAGGATATCAGATCTATTTCCGAAGAACCTATAATAATAAACGAATTTAAAGCTATATATATAAGAAATATCTATTCTAAAATTTCCTATCACGATGCCGACCAGGAAGAACTTGGAGAAGACGTAATATTGTACGAAGAGGAGAAGATTAGAAGAGAGCAGTAAAAACTCTACTCTTAGACTATATATATGAACTAAGTAGAGATTCGATAGAGTTAATTAAAGGACGGTTTAGTTGTAGTAGCGGAACGCCGAAAGGGACGGGACTATATTATATAGTACCGTAATAGTACCCCCGGCCTCAAAACGCAATTAACCTCAATTGCAAATAAAATAAAAGTACTATAAATTCCCTATTCCTTTACTATAATAGTATTACTATACGCTTATACTCGCTAAGATATATTACCGGCTATATACTACCTACCGAAAGGCTATTACCTTCGGTAATAGAAATAGCGTTATACTAATTCTAATTCGGTTTTAATAATATAAATATTGTATATTATATATTTCCCTTACTTCTTCTCTCGTTCCTTCCTCCTACTCTTACTCCTTCCTTTTTTTTCTTAATAATAATATATTATTATTTTCTTCTATAATAGCGTATTACTAACGAAATACTTATACCTTATTTTTATTTTACTATTATTTTCCTACTATTATTATAAGTAAAGAAAATCTTAGAAAGAAATATATATTATATTATTAAAATAGCCGAAGAACGTGCCGCCTCCTACAAAATCGCAATATTAACCCTCGTACCTAAATTCGGCTATATACCCTACCTTCGTTATTATAATTTAAATATTAAAATTAATAGTACTACCCCGTTAAAGATCCCTTACCTTCTTCCTATAGGGAAGAAGAAGAAGTATTACCGTTATTATATACTTAAAGATAATTATAATCCTATAAATATTCTTAAAAATCCTAAGTCTAAGGCTTTATTAACGAAATAAGGCCGTTCTATTAATAATTAAAAATACTTCTAATACTACTATTCTAATTATTTAGACTACCTCTTTTTAGGAGAAGGAGGATAATAAATTTATTTAAAACGAAGCTATTCGTATAAATATCGCTATTAAAACGTAGAAACTTCTTAAAAACTTTATAATAATTAAAGAGGACGTCTATAATAATTAGAAATTTATTAGTACTAAAAAGGCTACTAAGAAAATTGTAAGTAATATTATATTAATAAGGTATTAATAAGGGTATTTAAATAAATTACTAACATTATATTAGTATACCGATATTTATACTACTATTAACTTATATTATAATATACTTACAATTATCGGCGGTCCTCACCCCGCTTTTAATATACTTATAATTAAACGCTATA